GATGTTAAACTCACCAAAACCCTGGCTCATTACAGCCAATTATAAATGTTCAAATTTTATTTACATTAATTTAATTTGAGTTCCTTCTACATCTCATTTTGTATAATGCACACATTAAATTTTATTGAGCTTGAAGCATATCAGTTTGATAAATAACAAGGTGTCTGTGATGACAGACTGAATGAGAGAAAACGTTGCTCACATGATGTATAATTGGGAAAATTCCATACCAAAGAAACTAACAAGCAACAAGTGATATGCAATATCATATCACCTATGCAATCAAATTGCTAGTCTGTGAATGAAGTGATCCTTAAGTACCACATTCTATAATTCACATGAAATTAATGCTTCCTTGTTCATCAGTAGTCATAATTACTGTCCGCTGTGATAGACTGCATACAAGTTGATTTTCCAAGGCAGTTCCCTAAAGTAAGCCATGACTATTTCCTTCCACATCCTTTCCAATGTGTCATCCTCTCATTTGACACTAAACAGTTTAAGGTACTGAGAGCCTTGTCAAACTATAGACAAATAAAAATACAAGATGATTTACTGGATTATGTAATGGGCCACTACAAAAAAATTACCTCCATGGCAACAGATGAATATTACTTCGTAATACAGCAGAAGTGTTGCTTTTGACTTATCACTCATACTTTTAAAAGCAACTTAGTTCTCAGTCTCATCCTGCTGTAGAAACCTTACATTGTTTATAATGGTCACTTTGTATGATGAAAAATTATATCACAATTTTGTCAGCATTTGCAGTAAGTGATAATCAGCTTAACTTAATACAAAATCCGGTAACAAATTACAAGCCCACACGGAGTCATTATCCAGAAGACCATAATAAATCAACCTCAAATCTCACACAACTAGACATATAACGGGACATACATAAATTATAAAACAGGAATTACAGTGCATACTGAATGATTACTAAATTGAAAGCAGTGTCAAATATCTCACTACTTGATAAATGACACTGTTAAAAAAAGTTCTGAGAAATTTGTAAATAATTTGCCACAGTAGGCCCAATTCAGTATCATTTTTAATAAATTTCTGTAGTTTTCCAATAAATTGCCCTCACATATAACTTGAAGCCCAAACATCAATTATAAAAAGATGAATGTGGTCCCAGATCTGGAAAATGTTTAAACTCCAGTATTAAACAAAATAACAGTATTTTTGCAGAATCCTGTCAATAAACTTGTTACAATACTTGCAAAGAATAAGCACTCTTGCATTTTAATCATAGGCAAAAATTGTAATAGAGTTTACAATGTTTACATCATTAAATTAAATTTATTTTTGCATAAATGTTTGTTTTTTCCAATGTATTATGATGGCATCCACTGTCACGATAGCTGGTAACCTGAATGACAATTCAAATTTGGTAGTTTCTATACACAATTTTACTGTATCATCAACACATGCAATTATTTAGTGCTCAATCCATAAATGTGACAAAAAATGTTCCAAATAACAAAATAAATATTTTTTCAATTTTCGACTAATGGGTTTAAAACAAATTTATGTGTAAATTTTGCAATAATTATGCCCTTGTGATCAATGTTTGTGTTAGTGATGATTGGAGAATATATGGGACAGCTTCAAAACAGTAACAGCATGAAGTTGCCAGTGCTAACAAGTTTTCAGAAACAAAAACAGGAAGTCAGCATTAATAACCTTTACTGATTTTCTTGAGACGTGTTACTTTTGCTAACTACAGGTAACATGAAATACAAAGCAACAATTGTATTTTGGTCATAAATTTATGGGTTTACACCTTTACCTCAGCATTTACAAAGAAAATATATACTTAAGAGAAGGTAATAAAAATTGCATCACTGAGTGCACCTACAGTAACACCAGTTAAGTAGAATGACAAAATGGAGCATTAAAATTCTCAGCTGAGTCCCTACCTGCCTTTACTTTAACCAAGCATACAATTTATTCAGAACATAAAAACGCTGCAACGCAAAGTTTACTGGAACACTCAGTCAAACATTACAGAAAAAGGCAAAAAGAAACTTTTTGCTTTGCATAACAATTTCAGAATTCCAGTCACAAACCGTGTCACTGCTTTCTGATATGAAACAAGGCAATGGCAGGAATGTAAACAAGATAATACGAAGACTGAAATTTTTTATTGATACAATGTTACTTTTGTTTACAAATACATCCTTAAGCTCCATCAAAACAAAGGTGACATTTGGTGAGTGTCACTATAAACTGCAACATTGTATGTAGGATTACTGAACTGTTATAGTAAAACCAGCATAAATTAGCAATATAAAATGATCACAAAAATGTGTACTTGTGCCTGCTATATAAGAGTATATTAATCAGGAATAAGTGATATTCTCATACTTAAACAATTAAACACACAATATGTTACTTTACTTATGTGTTATACTTCCAGTTTTTTGTACATAGTAGTGTTATAACCTAGGTGATGCCAGACTTGGCAATCTGCAACACATATTTTTAAGTTTATGGTATGCCACCACCTTGATAGAGCTCACTAGAACTAGTATACCGAACATTTAAAATTAAAGAACTTTACTGAAGCACTCTCAATGAATATAGTATCAATGTTGAAAGATTTACTGATATAAGCCCTTATCCTGTTAATCAAATTCTGACCTATCACCTTACCAATGACCAAGACTTAATCAGTATCTTTCTCAATAGTGAAGTAAATGCTAAGACAATACTTTAAAACTGGTGACAACTATGACCTATTACTAACATATTATATATGGCTAACACAAAATGTAATGCAATTCTACTCTTACTACCCTTAGTACTCCTAAAACATGTACCAAACTTTTTATTCACTAGCTGAAATCAAAAATGAAGCTCATTTCCACAAGATACTCCACAAAATTACAAGAATGATTTTAAATGTCTGGCATCACCCAAACACCAAACAGGCAATAATTCAGAATGAGAACATGGAGGCTTATTATTCTCATGCCCGTTGAATGGTACCAATAAAAAATAATAGGGGTCATCAGGTATAAAAACTCAAAATTTTGCTGCCAATGTGTTAATGCCAGGATGGTGACCCAATCTTAGGCAAAAGATACTTAGGAAAAGAATATGTACTATTGATCTCCTACTTTACTTATCCTAATGTGTTTTTTTTTTTACTTTTGCTCAGTCAAGTGGTAGACACATTTACAATCTTGAAAGAAATACAAATTAACTGCTCACTATTACTATCAAACTCCCATTTCCATTTTTATGGTAAATAAATTTCCCTGAAACATTCAATCACAATAATAGGAAAACTAGTTATGTTTCACTCAATTTGTTTAGTTTACTTAGACATACAACCACTTGAATCACTTCTTAAATCGAAGTTTCTAGTTTTCAGTTCTGTCTTCTTAATCATGCATTCAGTCATCACCACCTTCATCATCCTCCTGTTCAGCAGCATCATCATCATCTTCCTCTGCCAAATTGTCATCACCACCTTCTTCACCCTCGATATCCTCCTCCTCCTCCTCCACTTCTGCCAGTTCTGCATCATCTTCATCATCACTACCATCATCTTCCCCTTCTACACCATTTTCTACCTCAATGTCAGGTACGAGATAGTACTGGAGAGGATTTGGCCACATATCATCCTTTATAACTTCTGCAATATCATCTGCAGATGGATCTGCATGATCAATTAACCAATTGAATAGTGTCTTCTGCTCCAAGAACCTCTTCCTTCCTTTTCCACCACTTTTATCTTTAATTTTTTTTGATAAATCATTTCCTTCTTTCCAAAGAATTGATGTGCTCTGAGAAGCAGGATCACCAGATGATCCCAAATGAAATTCTTTTGTTAGGACATCGTTCTCAAAATATGGGTTTTCCTCAAAGTGAAAATTGATTCTGTATCCAGATTTTATATCATCAAATTCCTCCACTTCTAGTTTTGTCAAGTAATGTAAGCAATCTTCTTCATCTTCATCAAGAATAGCTGAAATCTGTGGATGATTTACAAAAGCAGTTACCCAGAAATTGGGTATCCTCTTGATTATATCATTTCTCTTATCGAAGTAGGGTTTTCTCAATTTATTATACTTCTGTTCAACAACTAGAATTTCCTCACTTGCTTTTTCATTCAGTGCATCAATTTCATTTTGGCAAGCATCAATTTCTTCCAACGCTTTCTGAGTTTCGGCATCGTAATCCCTACTTTCGTCGGCGTCTCCTGATGCCCCAGCTACTTCCACCTTCTTTACCTTCTTCGGCGTTGCTCCATTCGACATGTTTTGTTGTAAATATTACAACGTGTTTTGCGTACTATGCCAACACTTTACACCCCTTGGACGCTATTGTGACCGCATGCCTTTTTCAACAAATTTTTAGATTTCAAAGCGCAATAAAACATTTAAATATTACTGTACACTAACACCATCAACATACAGAAAATCTATCTTCTCTATTGTACAGAACCCTCGCCTGCTTATAACCGTAATTCCACACACATTACCACCATATTTTAACCAATTAAAATTTACCATCGGTAGGGCGTGTTTAAATAGAGAAGAGCTTTTTGTTCTGGTCAGAGTATGAATGATTTTTGAGGCATAAATTTAAGATTTGACAACTATTACCGCTATATTAAAACGTATAGTTATCAAGAGCTAATGAAACTTTAATTAATACAATTAGTAGCTAATTTCATGAGAGGAAATAACTTAGTGAAATCACAAAGTAGACTTTTCCCAAATAGAACACTGCATAGCTTCGACCTATCGAAACAATTACTGCTTTCACATTAATAATCTGTGATTATGTTCGTTAGATGAAATTTACGCTGCAGAGAGTAATAAGAAACTAGCTAGTTACGAAATTTCTCAGCTTTTAGAAAATCTGAAGGTTCACTGCCTTGTTTTCAAAAGCCCAACAAATCCCTACACTGAAAGAGATGAATCTAGCCCACACATTATCACCCTTCTTTCCGATGATTCTTGTTAATGGATCATTCCATTTGCTGCTGTCTTCCAAATGAACCGTTATTTTTCAGGCTTTGCGAATGAAATTTTGTATACATTATCACCTCTCCCATATGTGATACATTTCCAACCATATCCTCCTTCATTTGGTCGTCGTATTATTGGTGACCCAGCCACGTGGTTAGCATTCTCCTTTACATTAGGGTGGTCACAGGTTCAAATTGAAGCCGTGACAGTATATTCTTGCCGATAGGTCGATTAACAATGGAACAGATATACCAACGGCGCATCAAATAAAAATTGCGCCAAATGTTCCACTGCTATTACCAATACAAATAGATGTCAAATCAGCATTGAATAAGATAAAACAGTAGCAAGACAACAGAAACAAATAAGTTCCATAAGATTTATTTTGTAATGAATGAATGAACATTGTTGGTTTCTTCTACAAAAACTCTTGTCATTTGTACAAAACTTCTAGTGACAGGAGAATATATAGTAATTACACCAGTGTATGGTATTTTATGAATGGGTGTCATAAAGTGCATTCCTTTGGCTGAAAATTTCCTAAATTAAAAATTCATGACATGTACTAAAACACTACACGTTAACTTCTTCACTCACCTGAAAGCAGTCACTTTTTACTGTAGCCATTTCTCATTTTCTGGTAGCTGTCAATTCTGTACATAATCTGGTGGCTCCATATTTAAAATCAAAGGAATATGAGCATTTATGTGATTTCAGGTTCTCACAGCAACAAATGTGAAGACGGCTGTGTTCAGGAACACGTCTGTCTGTCTGCATAGTAAAAACTTTAGAAAGATGTACGGAGGATTTTAATAACAAAAAAATTATTTTATGCATTTAAAACCATATTTTAAAAAGTACTCTCTTTTTCAGTACCAGCGCATGTATTTTATATTCATTTTAACAGCAGATGAACAAAAATACTACCCAATGCATAGGTCTGAAAGTTGTAAAATAATAACAAGACATTTTATTCCAAATACAAGTGTGCGCACAAACAACATATATAAATATGTATAAATCTGAAATTTGCTGTATTAACAGACACATTTGTAGTTGAGCATTACCATATTCATACTGAGTATCTGCAAAGGCCCATGGGGAATATAATACTTAGGCAAGTTCAAATCATTACTCTAGAAATATTAAGTGTACATCTGTGCTGCATACAGCATCAAAATCTCAATATTCATCTCTACAGTATGAGTAATGTTCCATGATTAATAATGGCTGTATTTTCCAACACAGCGATATACCATTAAACAGGGTGTACTGGACAGACAACTAAATAACATTTACATAAGATTATACTTCATCAAACCAGAATATAATTTTTAGTCACATTACAACTTCTTACTGTGTATGTAACATACCTTCTTTATTGATATACTTATTCACTCACTGTGAAGATGCTTTAAGATAATTATATGTATATAAAAGCGTTGCGTAAAGAATATGGAGAATAAGAGTGATGCCTGATGGTAATGAAAATGCTATATTGTACAAAAGTTATCATATGCATTAATTCCTCTTCCTATCTTTTGCACAATGAAGAACAAAAACAAAATAAGTAAATTTAATCGTTTATCTATTTCAGTTTTCAATATTCATAATTTTACAATGATAATTTTTTCTACAATAAGATTCCAAAATCCAAATTTGTGACCACATTACTTAAGTTACACATGTCACATTATTTGGTAATCAGGAACAAAACACTACTAAGAAAACAGAGATTGAGGAAGTAGGAGGCAATATATCAAACAAACTTGAATTATTCAAGATACTTGAGATTTTGTTGCTGTTAATTCTGCTTAAGATGTATACACAGTTAACACATGTGCCATCCACAATTAGTACAATCCTACGTACATCTTTACCAACCATCTAACAACTCAAGGTGGCTCCATCATACTAATACTTTGTCTTCACATTCACAAATGGGATCATCAAATTTGAGAACACAAACCCATAAGTTGTTATGAATAAATTAAACTGAATTATAATTAAAATTAAGTCATTCCTTGCACAAAGGACTACTGATGCTGTTACTTCAAAACAGTAATATGTGCATCTACCTTGGATCAATATGCAAAGCACATACAATGATTTATCCAACTCTTACAATATATTTTTATTGTCCTATCTAATGATTTGACCATTTTTTTTTGGGGGGGGGGGGGACTGATGCCAAAACGAAAATATACAAAGTTCACGATGGTAGAAAACTTCATATTAAAGAGGAGAAGCAGTTCTCAATTCCAAGCAAATTATTTAATACCTTAGGAATAATTTAATTCTAAAAACATGGCAAATTTGTTATCCATAAGGACATCCATCATCTGCGAGTACTGAGGGCATCTCACTTCAATAAAACAACTGCCAAAAACAGTTAAGTGGAATTTTATACAGCTGAGTATGCCTGGTGATTTTGGAACAATAGTTTGATGCAATAGAGTATATAGCTAGCAGCAGTGAAGTAATCACTTAGAGGTATATGTGTAATAAGCAGGACTTGATACTGACCACTCTATCTAGTGCTGAGGTCAAGAATGAGTATGAGCTATACCGCTTCTCCCCCAAGTGCCTAGAGTTTGTTACTTTATATGTGTAATAAGAATGAATCATATGCCACTAACAGTCAGTTCACAGCAACACATGGAAAATTATAAATGACAATGATTTACATAGATTACATTCAACCAACTTTAACAGTAAAAATCAGACAATAACTAAACGTTATATTCCAGTTCTAATTCAGAGTTGCTGGCCCCCAACAAAAAATAAAACTTATGAGCTTTGCAGTGAAGACCATACAAATTTTCAGAACAATGGATTTGGAAAAATAAACTGTTTCTAATGATCAATACATGAAAAATTTACTACATAAAACTACTGATTCACAAAGTATGTCTCATTAAATACCATATTATACACTACCACCATCAACATTATGTTCAGTTCCACTGAAATACACCACTGCAACATAAAACAATAAACAGCTGAATACACTTTTCCATGAGCGTTAAGCACAGTGGAAGTATAGCACTTTTCAAGTATGACACATCTGATTTCACTCATGAAATACATAATTTTATTAACATATGAATAAATCAATATCCAATCAAGTACACAAAGTCATGAATATTAAACATTTGTTCTATACAGTCTCCATAACATAAATAAAACAAAAAGTTAAAGTCTGTTTAAATTCATGGAATGTCAATGCATTCTTTTTGGTATCATCTAATGAACTGATTGCAGTACATTATTATGACTGCAATACAAATTTTAAATACTGGCACCAAACACAAGAAAATTACATGAAAAATCTACAGGTACATACATTTAACAAAAGTGTTATAACAGGAATTATCTGAACTTAAAAGATATGAATTAAACACAAAAAATCATAGCTTGAACATATTTCTCCATAAATATCTTACTGAAATTGATTTATATATGTAAAAAGGTAAATCTTTGGCATAAATTATAACTGCATAAGAAAGTGTGATTGAAGTGAATCACAAACCCTTACCTTGCATCTGGTAAATGTCTAACGAGTTAATGTTGAAGATAAAATTAAATGAAAGCTATACAGGAATCTGTAAAGAATGAAAAGCACTGCCAGGATGATATAGAAAAAAACAAAACTCATTATACAGCTAAAATTACCTTGGCTGATAACCAATTTTCAGATACAATATTCACTTACATTCAACAATTGCTCCATTTTACAGCCAGGCATATTTCAATTAAAGGAATGAAAGAGTCAGGCACTTAAGCCAATTGTTCTTTCTGTATTAAAGTAGTAAAGACCTTGGCAGTAAATTTATGTTTAGTCTCTCATATAGCAAAACATCCTGAGAACTCATGAGTTCATGCCTGTAAAACTGGAGACAAAAACTTCAGTGTTACAAAGTAAAAAAACACATATTATAAGGATTCAGACATCAGGTAATAGAAGTCTTCTACCAAAATATGACTGAAGATAAAGTTGTTCTTATTAACCATTTCCAACTGACACTCTTATTAATTGGATTAATGATGTAGGGCCTCCCTAGCCAGATTGGTCGAGGGGGAGAGGTCAGACTAAGACAGGTACCCTGGTCCTCCAGGTTAGGGGTTGGTCGCAAGGCTAACAACCTTGCACCGTAAAAAGGATGATGTTTCGAAACCTCAATCAAAGCCTCGGACAGACCGACCTAACAGAAGAAGGCAGCGGAGGATAGGACCGAATGGAAGAGGAGAATTGAGGCGGCCATGGACCGAATATGGACTGGAGAGCCATAAAAGAAGAATGAATCAGTCTATTTCACTGACACTGTTCATCTAATGTAACTGGGGTAAAAGAAAACCTTTAAAGCAATAAAATATCACTGTTCCTTGGCTCAGATAGACTACATGAATCCATTACCCTTAACAAACATCCTCTTCCACAATGCTACTTTAATTGTCCAATTCAGTCTGACCCATTCTAACAGCAGCATAGAGATCCAGAAACATAACTTAAACTTACCAGTCATTTAATAAAATCCACTCTTACACTGTTTTTTGCACAATTATTTTATTGGAGATATTAAAAATTCAACTTCAAATAGAGAACAAAAGTAACACATTATTTTAATTTTGTATCTGTACCTTTTATATGATAACAGTGTAATTATCTGACCTTCAGATACACCTAAAATTTACACAACACTGATACTTTCCACTTTAGTTGCATGAGGGCTTCTAATGCCCTTCACTACATATTTTCTTGACAATCAGATCAGAGTTTAGCAGCAGTTATCAGATTAATTAAATCAATACTCCACATATATCTACATGGCACAGATGGTTGGGAAATGTTTGCTGTTTGTACTGCATAACAGGAATTTTCATTCTTTATTATTTTTAGATATTCCTAAAAAAACAACAGCAAACCTGCAGTCACATGAGCACACTTCCTGGTACAACACAAGTAGTCTCTTCTCGTTAAATGCCATCCTAAATCTTCTTGTGGTGTACCATGTGTTAAAGGATGAATCTCTGGTAACCACATAATGACAAGATAACTGTAACATTAGTGGTGGATGAAATGCTGGCATATAAGATGCCTTTGTTCTAAGTTTCATCAACTTGCTCATTACTGGTCAGAAACGAATAGTAACTAAATATGACACACATTTTGAATTTTAAAGCACAAATAAAGAAAGTCTGAGTAGTATTTTTATAAATATGGTAACCTGCTAAGCAAATGACAGAAAACTAAGCAGCGTGCCTGCGTCTTTAACCACATACTGAGAGGTGTACTGCTGTTTCATTTCCACATCACTTCACTCTGTTCCAGTAACTGTTATTAAAAGAATACATACCTTATTTTTCAGTTAATGGCAACTAGTGGCTCCCCACTTATGACAGCATCCATAATATCAGATATTTCATATTGATCTACAGCTAATGATGATGGTATAGATGTTGAAGAAGCTATTGTAGTAACCCGCCACGACCCTTCATCGTTATGAGACCCAGGTACAGCAGATATAAATGCATACTGTGTGTTTGGTTCACCTACAACCAATGATTAGTCACTTACTGCAATTTATGTATAAATAGTAAAATAATTACACACCAAGCAGCAGAAAATGAAATATATACATTAAGAATATCTATCACAAAATTTCCATATTGCACACACTTATTTTGATAAAAAATCATTTCATTGCTCAATGAACAGATACATGATGAAGATGGCTGTCTTCTGGGTTGTTGTGCTGTGTAGTCTGATAGAAGTTAACCAACATTTCAGAAATCCTTGCTGCCTCCACCATCATCACTATCATCCTGATAATGGTGGCACCAAGGACATCTGAAATGCTGGCGCACTTCTACCTGACTGCATGGCGTAACAACCCAGAAGACAGCCATCTTGAGACTGACTGCTGTGAGAACCTCAAATCCTAACCACGCAAAATGTCTAAATAATTATATAAGTATAGACTACATGAAGTTCAGAGAGGTAATTAAACATGAAAATAAAGCATGAAGACGTCAGTCTGTTCTTACATTCCATTTGAAAAAAAAAACCCACAGGAAACATACTGAATTATTTTTCACACTGCTATAAAAAATTATTCACTTCTTGTCATAAGTTAAGAAATACAATTGAGCCCACTTATCATTCATTAATTTATTTATTGAGTTATCTATACAGAAGACTGTGTCTAACACTGGGTTTCTGCAGACTGCAGCCTACTGTAACTGTCTCTAATGGTATTACATAGTTACATAAACATTCCTATAACTAGATACTTACTCTGCTCTTTTCCATTCCCGCTTATATATTGTTTAATTTTACAACTTTAGTACATTTCATAATTACTTCAAAAGCTACTTCATCATAAATAATAAGCCATTTCCCACTATAACAATGTTCATTCCCATTTCTTGTCACAGAACATAAAAAAAATCATCTTGACATAAAGGTGTTCCCTTTACTCAATACTTGCTTCACCCCTCAGTTTCAAAGCACCAACCTTCCCCACTTCTCAATCTTCACCTATAACAACCTACTGTAACATTTCTACATCAAGATTATAGACTATCTGCACTGTTAGCCTCCTTGAAATTAATTTCCTAAAAAGATGCAAATATTCAAATTATAAGTAATAACAGATTTTCTCGAAAACTTAACACACTGGCAAGCAAACAGTATGAAAGATTTCTTTGCAATATGTTACATGCCTCTTTACCTGTCTCTTGGCCCTTGGAATCAGTATTTTCTGATGGCTTGTTCCCAGATGCAGAAAGAGCAGCCATTCTTACAGTAATGTTGTCTGAGCTTACACTCTGGGCTCGCCCAGCTGGGTGAAATACAGTTCCGAAGCCTCCTGACATTCCTGAAGCTCCAACATGACTTGTGGCAATATTTTCTATGCTACATGCCTTGTGAGCATTAGCCATACCCAGTGGAGATTCAGGAGCTGCTGGAGCTGTCCTTGACACTGGGGGAGGCTGCAAAGTGCTTCCACTATTATTACAGCCAACACTGCTTCCTGTTCCTGTTCTTTGGCATGGTGGCCTCAAGACAACTTCTGGTCCACCACCATATACACGATGGAAGAAAGACCACAGTTCTTCAGACAGCTGAGCATAATCTGAACCTGAAGCATTATTATAAACATTAGAAAGACGTGTCAATTTTAAACTATTGCAATTCAACTGTATTATATATCATAAACTGCCATAATCACTATGACAATAGACAACAAATGGTTAATATTTCAGAAATCATGAAAAATGAAATATGCATATATTAGAGAGACCCAAGGTTCGTGGGTTCAAACCCAGCCGAGGTCAATGGAATTTTAAGGGTGATAAAAATCCATAGCAGAACTTCCTTCAGAGGGGAAGTAAAGCTGGCGGTCCCACGTCGTAGATTTAAGGCATGTAAAAGAACCTCACGAGCATGATACAAGATGTTTCATAAGCAAAATTCAGTGGCCATTTCTCACCTATGTCTCTGATTCTCTACTAGATGGCTCTAGCAAACAAATAAGGATTGAGTAGAAATTGTGCAGAGGCAGTGCGCTTGTCACTCACCACATAAAAATTCACCATACAAGTCTAATATAGACAAATTGCCTGGGGTAACCGTCCTGGAATGGGTCAATAGGCCCAATCCTTGTAGTAGTTTATGATGATGATAATTTAACACCTGTTATACTTGACAAAATGCATTTATTATTAAATAAACAGCATGTAGTCACTTGTTTTAATACCAGGATATAATCACCAGACCACAAATACCAGTAGTGACTCAACAATCACTTAAAAAGTATGCTCATACATAACTAAGAAATTATTTTTTTATATATCCATAGTATTTAATTGTTTAATTTGAATTTTATAAAAAGTTGTACCATAACACATCTATTATGCAGAAATATGTAGATACTGTAGGAAATTAAAGCAGCAGTAACATGTAAGTAAGAAGGAAATTTCCAATGGCAGACTACAGTATGTAACTCTTTACACATATATCCTGTATGTTCTCTTATTACAAACTAACAATAATCTTTTCTTGAAAAATGCACAATTTGGGAAAGAACTCACCCATTTTTAGAATCACCTGTCCATTTTTATTAACAGTACAAATTGAAGAGTTGTCTATTTGACCAGGAGGTTCTGGTTCCTTCCCCCTGACAAAACTCTGCCACTGACGAAACCAGTTCATGGCGATTGCATAGATAACAACTGGACTATCTTCAGCTTGTTGGAATTCTTTGTTCAGTTGCATGAATACATCTAGTTCATGTTTCACTCTATGAGCTAAGGCTTCTTGCTCTTGTTGACAAGTTGGGCATGCATACAAACGGTTGCATGCTGGTCCACCCCCAAATCTGCAAAATGAAAGTTTAAGACTTGTGTAATATTAACTAATTTGAACAAATCTGCCTACATTGGACAATTACTGAAATGTTACATGTATCTAACACACATTATTGTATGAACAATGAGTACTCTCTTACAACACAGCACAATGAAATATTTTAAAAAATGTCAATATAATGAAATATCCAGTTTTGCAGAATATTTCACGTTTATAAAATACTGCACTGTTAACCAATGAGTTCCTTGAAATCATTACTTTAATGATGTTAAATGTCATTAGAGTCTACTACATATAAAGGGATTGTTAACAGTATTTCGTTTTGCTGTAACAAGTGCTTAGATATACAATGGGAATGCACTAATGCTCTCACCATCCTTTTTTAACTTCTTTCTCATATATATGTTCATTAATATTTGTTGTCATTAACTGTTATTGCTGAAACCTCACAACACAACCCCCATAGCTGTCTGCTCACAAGAGCCATATCTTTTTGCAGCAAGAATGTATATTATACATAACATTTTAGAGACAATGAGCTGATAAATTTAGAAATTGGAACTAATGACATATATTGATCACATGAACAATGCAACAATTAGTGTATTATGGGCTTACGTGTCATAGAGATACTCCCATACAGCCTGAGACAGAATAGTACAAAGCTGGTTGACATATGGTTCCCTTGCTGGATGAACACCTCCATGAATACACAAGAAATCAGAGTTGTCAATGGGACCAGGTTCTGCAAAGGTGTTGAACTTGTTTACCCATTGCTTTGATACATAAAACTGCATAAGGCTGGGCTCATGATGTGACAATTCCATAAGTTCCACGGCCCTGTGTCGTAGTTTGGCTGCAGCAGCGCCGCATTTCCTGTAACAGACAAAACACACAGTCATGTTAATGAAAGGCTGTCAAACCTTAACACAGGGCATGTATTCAAACTGGTAACTGCACATCTGCAGCAAAACAGATAACTAGAAGCATATACATCCAGTTTATCTGGCAAGGGTGAATAAGTGAAGCAGACTCCAACAACCAAAAGTGCATTCAGTAAAAGAATGTAAATCATGTTCTTATGGGTTGTGATACAATGCAGACTTGTAGGTAGGCACCAGTATTTTTGAGGAACATACTGCCTCCACCTTGAGCCCCAAAGATGGAGGCAGTATGCTACTCTGACCTCTTCACCACTGTGACAATCTGAAATCTAAGGGTGAAACAAGATAAGACAAGCCACCTTCATAGAAATGCCAGTGAGTGGTGGTGGTGATGGTGATGACAATAACTGGAAATGATTCTCTAAAAATTCATTACAACATAATAATGGTATAACTGTAAACTCAGGCAGCGGAGGATAGGACTGAATGGAAGAGGAGAATTGAAGAGGCCATGGCCCGAATACAGACCGGAGAGCCATAGAAAAAACAACAACTGTGAACTCTGACTACATTCAAACCCAAAGAAATCCTCCCAGCAGCATGTTCAAATATCTGTTCATTTATAAAAATAAATTGCAACTACAAAGTCATAATACTTGGTATTTCCATTACTTACTTGTAGAAGAGAACATATGCTTCACAGTTTTGGACAGTCTCTGGAGGGACCTGTGTGACATACTGGTCATCAAATTCAAACCACTGCTCCGATATACAGTTCAATGAGTAACACGTGTAATGGCCACCACCTGCTGTCCCATGATGACAGATTACAGACACCAGGTTATAGCTTGTAACTTGAGAAACACAATCTGTTAACATTACAATAGTCATTATATACAAAGTAATGAAATATTAGTTATTTCTAAACTTTTATATTCCACACATTTGCTACAAGCCTTCTGTTAATAACTACAGTTGTTTGGGTTACCACAACAAGAGAATTAACAGGGCCTGTAGATTGTTAGTAGTTCGGTCTTTCTTATCTACAGAGATCAATATGTCTTGCAACCTTTTGACAATAAATTGCAAAAAAAGGAAAGTACTATCCTGGCATATTCATTGAAGTGCAAACACAAGACTACAGATAACTCTTGAACATTTCACATTACAACATTTTCATTTCTATGAATTAAATGTTCATTGTCCAGTCCCAGTACTACATAAAATATGCATTTGTTACCAAATGTTTTTACTTAATACTACATCTGTCCCAGCTATCTTGTTAAAACAAAGTGTTACAAGATTTTTCAGTCTTGTGTGTCCATATATGTACCTACAAATTCATGAATACAGAAAAGATTGTATTTATTTATTCTTGGTTTTACCTGTAAAACATCATGTTAACTTAAAACCAGGAAGAACATGTAAGGGCAACTTCTCTCATACAGAATACAATTCAAAATATAGCAACCTGTCAACAACTATGAAGATGTTCGTGGATACCAGCACATTTTGGCAGGACCAAGGTCTTATGAGAAATCAGAGTTAGCAGAACCAAGGCTGCTGTGAATACTCAGCAAAGCCTAACTACACTGCCCATTCCTTCATTAAACACAAAAATATGTGATAACATGTTTAAAAATAAATTAGACATAAAATATATAAAAGCCATAAAACAACACACTGAAATGGTAATCTGCAACCTACAAAACAGGTTTTAGTGTAAAGTCATTAATATTTTCCAAAAGTGTACAATTTAGAAACCAAGGATATTTAAAAGTCCCACGCCGTAGCCACGTGGTCTGAGGCATAATGCATCGTACCGGCGATATGGAATGCGCGCTGGTTCGAGTCTCGGGGGGAGAAGAAATTTTCTCTTGAGCTTACAACCAATGTATGGGACCAGTGCCAACCCAGCATCGTGAGGAAATTGGGGAGCTACAATGAGTAGCGTAATCCAGTCAGGAAAGCTAGCAATGGCTGGGGGTTCATCGTGCTGACCACACGTCACCCTATATCTGGTTGGATGATCGTTCAACTCTGCTTAGGCATGTGAACGTGAGGCCAGCAGTCAAGCTAGTCGGCTTTGGCTTTCTGGAGCTGTTACGCCACGGATTTAATTTTTTTTTTAATTTAGAATATTTAAAACTAAATACTACATTGACAAAACTATGACGACAAATGGAAAACCAAGAAAGTTGAAATTCACAGATGGCAAAAAATTTCTGTACTCAACTAATGAATATCAACATGTGCATTTTCATAACTACCTTAGACTTACTTTCAAAACAATCGTAACTGTCCAAAAACCTTCTGTAATTAAAATCATAGTCTCATTAAAGCGATGCAAAACTGTAATACAGCACCTCACCATATGCCCTCTTTGAACAGCTGCTCTGAGGGGCACTAAATCATATGAAAGGGGCTTACATGAACTTAAAATAAGGTTACCTTTATGTAAATATGGTCGCATATCAAGCCCTTCTAAAGGAAAAGCCACATAACTAGAGATCTTAGCACTGAACATCAACTCATGACGGAACCTCTTTAAGTGAATGCACAAAACTTCTGGTAGCTCCAATACTTTTGAGTACTTCACTCCGTTTCTCAGCTTGTTGCATTTTTCACAGCTGTGAAAAGCAAATAAATATACTCACAGTGATCTGATAATAGTTATGAGATGTCAATTTGCAAATCATAATAAATTTCATATGAAATGACTTGGTCTCAATTCCATATTTATATGGATCTGTACCCTAGCACAATGTTAATGAACCAGGCTGGTATATTACCTGAAGAGACTTGAAAACTAGATTCTTAAAGCACTCATATAACCAATTTTAATTACACATGGTAATAAACACTGATGAAAAGTTACATAATAATAACAATAGTGACAAACTAAGGGAATTACTAATGATGCTCACTGCTGAACTAAATAGATGACTGGCCAAAGCTATTAAAAACAAAAAAAATGGTGAAGTGTGTTTGGAGGGGGGACACCTTCATAACAAACATATGTTTCGTAACTCTTAATTTTATTCTTGGATTATAAAAATGATTACCTGTACATGTTATCACCTTTAAGCTCGTCTGCTGAGAAAAAAGCAGCCAAACAATCATGGAGGCTGACTGTGGGACCCCAGAACCAACTACGGACCCACTCCCATAACCATGTCACCCAACCCTGCAATGTGTGCACATCTTTTGATGACATTTCAACAGACAGTACATATGAGAGAATGGTATTTGTTCTTGTAATCTCCTCACTGAAACAAACAATGCTGATCTTATCTATCTTCTTTCGGTCATCAATAGTTTCCAAGGTAAGGAATAATCCACACACAAGGACTTGAACACAGGATAGCTCTTTGGGGTAATGGTCTTTGCTCCTATAACATTCTTGCTAGAACAAATACTTTTGGTTTTGGTACTGTTCTATTGTGCTTTGTTTCTGAGCTATAGAAACCACATTCAATGGGACTCAAAACACGGAATTTTTTTTTTTGGAGTATTGACCTTTCAAAAAGCTTAAATAATCTCGCAAACATTCTTGGATGCACAATATAAATAGAGGACCATTCATGCAAATGTATATGGAGGGTTCAATTTCAAACGGAAAAAATTAATATATATTAATCAGAAAATGTAAAAACTGTCAGTATTAAAAGACATAACTAATTAGGAGTTGGACATTTATTAAGAATCAGTTGTAACAAATAATAACTAACGGAAAGCCTGAATAACAACTTATCAAACCATAATCTGGTGAATACAATGTACTGAGTATTAATGTAGTAGTATGGTAAAATTTGTAATTTTATATACTTTAATAACTAACCAGCCATCAGGTACAAAATTTAAAGTTACAATTTCTGAAGTACAGGTTTCCTTCACAAGCAAAGCGAGAAGGCATGAAGCAGCCCACACCCACAGCAATATTTTCCGCTGGATTTCTTTTATAAATTCTGCCTTGTGTAGTGTTTCAGTAAGTAATTATCAAATATTTTTTAGAGTGTTTTCAATATTAATTATCATGTAATTATATTAAATTACACTTTTGACTTTAAAGCACTTGTGAAGTACAAGCTGGCTTGTGTTTTAAAAAAAAATAATTTCAGCCTTGATGAAAATAAGCAAGAAGTCACACATTTATGGCAAATTCAATATTCCCCAAATAATTACCAAATCATAATTTTGAGCTTTCAAACCGAGAATGAAAGTATGATAATTACATATATAAATGTGTGTACATAAAAGTTCTAGTAATAATACCTGGTCTCCTGAGTACACGTCTGAACAAGCAGAAAGACCTCCTTTCTGCTGAGGAGTCAATGTACCTTGATGAAGCATGTGAATATGATCCCTGCTTGGAATTGGCAATGATAAGTCTTGGAATGTCTCCACACGTGTTGAGATCTGTTGAAATAAACCCATTATGTAAGTATAAATAAAATTCATATTATTACAGTACAAGTCCTTCCAGAGGAATACTGGCTGCTATTTGATTTAATTGAGAAGTCTGCTATTATGAAAGCATCTTAATGCATTGCATTCAAATAGTAAACAATAATTTGCTTGCTGTAACATATGCTTCTGGTCCAACAAAGCAGCACTCTCATGTACCCAAGACTATGATTTTACTGTCAACATGGCAAAGGTTAACAATGCAAAGTCTGTGGCACTGTATGTAGGTGCTATGTGTGAGCAATAAAGTTTTAAACAAGTTGTCCTGCAACAAGGAAAAATGAGTTTTCAATTTCACTACAATTTTTTTTTAAATTCAATATGGAATTACTTCTTTTCTATCTTCATTACTTATCTTTATTTCCTTTAAAAGTAATTCTGCCATTTAGCACCATTACTGAGAACTTGCTCAGTTACACAAGCACATACGCACACACAGTCTAATCAATATCCACAATGTTTAACAGATTTTGCTACTCTCTTCAGCTAAACAGAATTTTGGGAAGATAAGACAAATAAAATAAGAACAAAATACTATTTACCCTGTCACAGGTAAGGCACTGTACAGAGCTCAGCAGCTTTCCATCAAACACATCTGATATAATGGAACGATGCTTCACTGGTGTCTTCTTTCCCCTTGACATTGCCCTCTGTGGAGAACCAGGAACAGAGACTGGGCTAGAATTTGCTGTGTTGGGACCACCCCCAGAAGTTCCAACAGAGGTAAGAGCCTGAGATGAGGGCACACTACCAGAGTTCTTGGAGCCAGCTGCAGTTAGCTTTGATCGTAAACGTTCTGGTGGTGGGGAAGGTGACCGTGATAGCCTACATAAAAAGAAATTTAAAATGTATAATTGATTCATAATTTCAGCACAGTTTTCACTGTTTCTACATACAGAAAACCTGAACCCCAGTTTGCTTCTAACCATCCAATGTTTGAAAAAGTTAAAAGAACAGAAAGTAATGTTTTGTAATTGCAAAGAACTGTTTTCCCCACTTTGTGACAAAGAGGCAATCTCTTATAATGACAGCACTTTTAAAAGGCAGTTTCCAGTCAATTAAGGCAAATATAAACACATTTTCATTTTTCTAGAGCAAAAAGGAACTGATTTCTAGACGCATAAATTTGTATGAAAATTTAAGAATACGATCAATTATTAAATTTAACTAAATGTAAACGAAAGTATTCACAGAATTAAAAAGGGAATTACACAACGGCCTTCTTGCATGTAACGTTACTTTTAACAATTTAACCACAGTTTTTTTATGAAGAAATAAATAAATACATTATAAGGAATAGCACCTCTAATATAATGTGATTTTCAGTAAAATTATGTCCTTGCAAGATAAAATATATTCACATAAATGAGCTGAGCCATGCCTTGGCTATGTCATCATGGGTAACATGGTGTCTTTGCCATACAACCATAATCACAACACTCACATAGACACACAAAGAATATGACTAAAAGACAACATGTTTCAGCCCCAAAATGTGTGAATCAGTGTTCTCCGTATTCCGGTGAAATACATTTATAACATGCAAATAAAATGCTAACATTCTCATCTGATACTGTGTACTTACTTGCGCTTACTTGCACTTCTACTTCCACTGCTGCCATCATGCTCGCCTTCATCACTTAGTGAGCTCCGTTCACTAACACCTGAATCACAAGTCTCGTATTCCCCCTCCGACTGACTGGACACACCCCCACCACCTCCAGTGCCATCTTCTCCATCATCCTGATCTTCATCTTCATCTGAAATCTCTTCCAAGGACCCAGAACCCAATGACTTTCCTCCCATACTTTGAGAATTATTGTCAGAGCTAGTTGCAGCAGCAGAGACACTTGACACAGCAGATTCTGGGAGAGGTTCCTTCAATTCTTCATGCAACTGATCCATAAAACAACGCAGGAATTCCTGCGTGTCATGCTGTTGATAGCCCCGGAACATTGGGTGAACCTTCTTGCAAAGATTATTTCAAAAATTAATTTCATACACTTAATATATGCAATACTTGTGTGATTTAATATGATAACACAGCAAATACACATATCAAAAGGCTGTTTCCTATATAATCAAAACTTAATCTCAAACTAGTCACACTATACTCTCTAAATTAATGACCTCCAATTTCAATTATTTGCATTCTGTGCACTCTTTAATTTCAAAACTTGAATTTATGTTGTGGTTCTACTTGCGTGTTAAAATAATCACTTATATGACTCATACATAACCTTGTTCTTTTGATATATATCTGTATTATGTTAAAATAACATTGAGCAATTTTGGTTTGGCTGCATATCAAAATCAACTGGTATAAGAAGCTAGTTTTTCATTTTATTAACTTGGTGCTGCTAAATGCTAACATCCTATACCCAACAATTTTCACCTGGCAGACAGTGTAAAATTCCACATACCAAAACCCAATCTAACGGATGAAGATGTTATAGATCTGTTAACAGTTTTTTGTACATAACATGCAAACACAGCCCATCAACTGGACTAGCGACTAAATGTGTATAATGTACCTTACTACACAACTATCACAAACTCATAATCTTTAGGTGGGAGATACAGTCTGAAAATAAACTGTCCAGCTGAGTGAGTGGTTATTTATTTAGTGCGCTGAAATCTATTTACAGAGGCCATAGCTGCCTAACACTAGGTTTAATACATCTGTAAGTTCCTATGTCTACCCCCAAACCTGCGCTGCAGAAACACGTCTGCTCACTACCTTGGCTAGAACTCAATTCGTGAGTGTTTATGTTCTCAAAATATTAAAATATGTAAATGTAATTAGAAAATAAAATATACTTTCAAAATACATATCCAAGAGTAAATATATAACCCAGAATAATAATGTTGGTACTGAAAGAGTTCAAACATGTGCTATGCACTTACAGTAAACTGTGGACCAATTCTTGTTAAAAAGAACTCAAGAATCTGAATTTCCTTTACTGCAGAATAACAACAAATTCCCCAATAATTCTAAAATATGTGTAAACTTACATTACGAATGCCATACAAGATTCCTGAAGGAACAACATATCCTGGGCGTCTGCGATGCCACATCTCTTGCACAAGCCTATGGTAACTCTTGGACAATCCAGGCTTCTTTTCACTACCACAACTGGCAGCAACTAGAGATGCACCACAATCTAAAAAAAACTGTGTGAGTGGTGGTGTGTTGGACAGTGCCTGAAGTGCTGAGTTCATGTAGCAAGTGTTGCCAATGTTTTGTAATCCTGTAAGACCTAAAAATAAATCATTACAGTGAGATGTCTATAGTAAATGATACCTCAGTCTGATGATAATGACCCTCAATTGATTTTATTTTATGATCATCCTTTGTTTCACTTACACAGAAAGAGAACAACATAAATCTAAATTCACAAAATCAAACACTAATTTGTATCAAAATCTAATATGTATATCCCCCACATACATAACATCACACTGAAGTAGCTTATGTAAGCAGAATAGGACCATTCTTAAAAAAGTAAATGGAAGAAACAAATAATATATATGTAAAAATAAAACAATCACTACACCTTCAGAAAGACAAGGAAAAAAATTCATTAACAGAATGCTGGATTATTTTTAAAACTGTATGTTAAAATTGACCTTACCTCTTGGTTTTCCACTGCCATCGCAGCTGTCTTCACTGTCACTGCTGTCACCACATTCACCTGCAGCCCCAAATGTTTTAGGACTGCAGTGTGTTGACATAGGGCTCATGACACAACTATTTGATCGACTATGGCTTATATCATGCTCCAAGAATACTTCATTCTCACACTGATAACACCACAATCGGTTTGTAGACAAGTTCAATTGAATGTAATGGTTGTGACAACTCTGTAAAAATCATTAATATTGTGACGTGTTGCCATAAGAGAAGCACAACAATGTCAATAAACAGTTTAATTGTCTGTTTATTGACATTGTTGAGTTATGAGAAGACACACTATAAACATCACTTTTGTTTAATAATCTTGAAAACAACAGAATGTACAGAAAAAGTGTATTGGGCACAAAATGTGTGTTTTGTTATGTCTACAACTTTTTTGAAACACTTTTCACTCCAACAGAGTTTAGCAAATTTATGTGTGAGCTGCACTCAAGATACACACAAAAGTGCATGCAGATCATCACATGAAGTGTCCCTTAGTACTGTTCACAATTAAATGTGTTACAAATTGCAGTACAATTTTCCAACATCAAATTTAATTAAAATCTGTTCAGTAGTTTGAAAGTTACTAAACACAACAAAGAAAAACAGGTGATATTTTTAAAAACTTTTCATTGCAAATGTGCAAGAAAAGTAGGCTAGTTACAAATATGTCTCAAATTCTGGTAAGAAAACTGATCACAATCAGTTGCTCTGTCTAACAAACTGCAAAGAGATTACAAATTCTGTGATGTGAATCCTCAAGTTGAATATTATCAAATCAGAATTCATTAACACAATCCATTCATAATAACTGTCAATATGGTTTACAAACAAGCACAATTATAAGCAGAACACCTTAATCGGTACCAACCCTGTTATGCAAGGTGCTATGATCATTATGTGCTTCTCCGCAGCCAATCTTATAGCATCCATGATGTAGACACAGCCATAGATTAGGACCTGAAGAATCACATTCTGAACACCGTGATACCTGGTCCAACAAGTCAGAAACAAATGTTAAGATTTACTTTCATATAGACTACAAAAAACTTACACCCTTGTCCAAACTAACAAAATTTTACTCTCAGTATTCAGTAATATCTTAGTATGACAACATTAATGACTAATGCTAACCTTCGGAATAAAAAATATTTTAAGTATATTGGGAAAATACTGCTTACATAATAATGTGAGAGGATTCTACAAAGCACCAGATATTAAGAAAATGTAAAATCTGGGAAATAATTGAACCAATATTTATAAAACATGAACAATACATTCATTATATCCATGCAATGTCTTCCCTGTTAAGTCACTAAATATTCAACAATGGGCTGGACTACTGGGGTTTGATCCCCAACGGGGAGTCCTTCCCTGGAGGTAAAGCACGACCAGAGTATAACGCTAACTACTCACTCCCATCTAGTGCTGAGGTTAAGAATAAGCAGAAGCTATACCTCCTCTCCCCTAAGTACCTACATAGTGTATAGTGAGACTGCTTTTCTTTACTTTTATAAATTTTCTCCTTAACCACAGCGCCTTCCCTTATTCCATTCTCTGTCCTATCACATCACTCACTTCCCATTTTACTCCCAATGCCAGACATATATAACAGCTCTTTCTCTTCCACTTGCACCCTGAAGATGGCAACTGCAATGTTTGCTTAAACACAACACTTTCAACACATATTCACAACTAATCCCTGACAAATGAAGTAAAATGTGTCTTTCAGGGATTGTCCCCAGGCCTACTAAGAATGTAAACCCACACCTGTCTCATATTTTCCATAATGAAACATAATCCAGGCAATGTGAAGTAAACAGTGTTTTCATACAAACGTTAATGTTACTGACTCAATACAGAATGGCACCTGACCATGTATATTTGCTGTCAGAAGCACAGTTAGCTTGATGTAGTCACAAACTAAAATGACTACAACTTTATTTTCCTTGTGGTTATTTTGAGACTGCCTAATGTTACAGACCAATGCGAAAGTGACTCTTAAGTGCCATTCTATTTCGCGTCGGTTACATCTAGAAGTACAGTTCTTATACTTACCTCTTTTGCTCTCTCAACATCACTATGGTCGAAATCGGAAATATTACTGACATGGGGACATTTTAATCCTCTGCCTGCCATAATTCTGCAACGCCAGACGTATACTTCAAGAATTAATATCCACTTATTTACACATGTATTTCATATACGTTCTATTGTATATTTTAAACGCCATTAATAAACATTTTGATGCACAATTATCGATTTCTTCGAAATAAAATCTGTAGACATGTTGTTTATACATACAGAATGAACACTATTAAAGTTTCTAAACAAGATAACAAATATGAACCGTCTTATTTCCAAATTGACAGCCCAGAACTGAATCAGCATAAACATACAATTGCGAGTCGTCACATGAAGTTCGCATTTACACGTGTAGATGGGCCTACGTTCGATGCCAAACTGTAACGTTACATGCACGGAATTACGTAGTCAGAACAAAATATAAACCCACTTTCTTACCTAACCAATACATGCAGTGACTCAGTACAGTTAATAAATACAAGTAATACTGATATCACAGTTCCCTTGACGTAGGCAAACACCCTGCATGAATAAATCCGTTGCCCTCTAATGGTAATATTCTTAAAATTCATCGGTACTGTTGGTCCCATAAACACGTGCATAGATGAAATCCATGGAACTGCCCAGTAACCACAGATGAAAACGTGAGAAAGTATAAAATTGAAAGCAGAGATGCTAAAAATGTATGTTCTTTGAAATAATATTCAAATTCGAGTGTCAAAAAAATAAGCAAAAAGTTGAGAGTGGAACCACGGTTCCGGAGAATCTGACGTAAATACGTCTCTGTAATGTAATAATTCTTATATAAGATAAGTACTTGAGATATTCTAAAACGTTTTTGCCAGCACAAAATTATCTAGTCTACGTGGCACTTCTTCTACAAGCGATTCACAGCTGAGCTCTTTCCGCAATAATGAAAGTGGATTGTTGATGGCAGTAATGTAACACAACAATGCCGAGTAAACAGATAACGCAACATAACAATGCACGCAGGAGTTCATATAAAAGCTGACCATTGTTGTCCGTCCATATTTACACATTGTTGATATGGATCTTACACAACTTCGTTACGCTTTTTTGCCGAATGACCCTTCCGTATAGATGTATTTACGTCAAAAAGAATATTATGAAGTCCAGCTGCAGTGGAATATTTGCATTTGGTAGCCTGCAAACAGTCCCATCCACTATTAGAAGAATACAATGGAACAGAAAACTTTGAATCCTGCTTAGTTTTTGGTTTAGGTAGGTAGGATGGAGATAGGTGATACTCTTTTAGTACTGGCTTGAACTTCTTTATATTGTGAGTCTTTTTATAGTGGGATTAAGATTATTAAACAGCTTAATTCCAGTATAGTAAGCTCCTTTTTGATCTTTAATGAATTCAATGTTTGGCATATTGATGTTGTATCTGTACCTTGTATTTATATTGTGTTTATGTTAGTTTACTTGTTATCATGCATTTTCTTTTCATATTAATAAAGAGCAAAATAAAGAATTAAAATACCTTTTCTTACAACCTTACATAGTACTGTTGAAATTCATGAACTGTATAGCTCATATTAATAACTTTATTTAGAAATTAAATCACAAAAAATGTAGCAGAATTGTCAAGCAGGCAGTATCTTTTTAAAATCTGCCCGTAGCTGTGCCTTTGTGAAGACAACAGCCAGACTGTCTCATTTACCTGACTTTTCAGTTATTCTGGTAACAATTTACATGTACCAAACAATGGATTTTTAGGTAGCAGTCACTGTATAAATGAGACATATGTAATATGAACACAGTTCAAATAAAACAAATTTAATTTGCACAGTTAGTAGTATTAGTAGTGTACACACATATGACCATTAAAAGACTATGCATCATACTTGACACAAAACTTTTTATTTCCTGTTGTATGAATCTGAAGCTTTCCTTTTAAGCTGCCAATAGTCAGATTCCATTTCCCGTGGCAGAAATGTCCTGTCCTCCTACTGTATCTTAAAAACTACGGGTGATAGAAAAAAGCAAGGTCATATCCATAAATCATAAGTAAAACTCTACAATTCTTTGCCCAATGTGCCAGTCCAAGTTCATAGTTTGATTCCCATACTGGCTAAACCTTGAGATGAAGGGTAAACCAAGCTTTGGCATGTTAATCTGGTTTATATAAACGAAGAAGGTGTAATTAGATGATTTTTGGAATACCTTACTTCATCTAAATTTCATTGAGTTATTAATTTTGGCCTTGTTGAACATATTAAGTTTAAAGAATATGGCCACACGCAGTCGCTTGGGCATCTCCCCCCCCAACATTCTGTCTGGAGGGAGCCAGACATAAACAAAGAGCCAAGACATAAGCAAAGAATACTTAAGCCATCCCAGACATGGAATGAACCCTTTCCAGATGTGGGGTGACAACTGCATTACAACCATCACTTCACTGCGATGGACCAATTGAATTTGAATACAGCTTATAGGCGAGTTCCCGCCATTGTGGGGGAACGAATCAGATCGCCGCATTTAAGCCAAATTCAATAACAAATTATGTAATGCAGTAGTATTTAAAGAGCGACTGTGGTTGCAGGGCTCTCTTAGCCACTCAAGTTTTTGATCTCCAGGTCATGCAGACCGTGCACCACTTGCTGCAGTTTATTTATACAACAGCCGATTCATAGTACTGCCTAGTATAAACTGCAACTGGTCTTCAAAGTTTCTCAAAAGACAATAAAGTGAACGTCTCCAGGCTCACCAGTGGCGTCTTTTGTTACTCGAGATTGCTCATCCTACGTAAAATATCAACCCCACCACTGCCTTCCCCCGTACATTCCCTGGGAATCGGAGTTCCATGCTCACCGACCTAAATCCCCGCCCATTATCAAATTTTCCTAAAATCCCTTCCGCACTTATTAAAAAGATTTGAAGCTGCAACCGTACGAGTGCCTGGCACGTCACTTGGTTTGACCCGTGACTTAAACAAACATCGAGATGAGAGTGTGGAAGGACGGTTGCACCAGAAACCAAACATCATGGTCAAGTGGTTAACACACCTGCTTCACATTCAGAAAGTCCCAGATTCAAATCTCGGCCTGGAGACCAGCTATCATGATTGAGTTTTTTGTAGTTTTCCTCAGTCCCTCCAAGGAAATTCCAGGATAGTACCTTAAATTAGGCCATGACCACTTCCTTCCACATAGTTTTCAGTTCATTATTCACTATCCTCCTTTCATTCAATGCTATTAAAAAGCACTGTTAAATCAACTACAAATAAATGAATAAATATTCACCCAGCAAGAAAACATCTTTGTTTACCAGTGTTATTTGATATGCTCAAATAAATGTACAGTATACTGCTTTGAAAGTAGAAGGAATTATTTACTCTCAGGTTCATTCATAATACTTTCAAGACTTAATATTTTGAGGACCATTTATTTTTGCATACAACACTGTATAACAACCCAGCAGGCACAATCAACTCAGTCCAACAATGCACTGGAATATGACTTATGAACAAATGGCAAACCACCTAATACACTTTTAGGCTACCCTCTTGAAGTTTTAAAAACATCAGTCTCCATCCAACCTTGAACCAGATTATGACTTCAACAGTTCCAAAAGGATCTACTTCACACTATGTTTATCTTTCTTGTCACATGGAAAAGTCAACAGTGAGTTCAGCAATTGACCTGCATCAGCAAGAGCATTGCACATTCTGAAACCAATTAAACATTTATTCTGGTCAATGATCAATCAATAAAGGAATGTAAATCCTTGGTTACCTTAAGAGAAGGATAGCTGTCTTAATGGTTACTATGGTTAATGGTTACCAAGTAGTTTTAAATTAAAATATATTTTGTGAGATTTGATGTTCTCACAGTGAGGGGTATGATGATGTCTGTTTTCTGGGATGTAGTACCATGCAGTATGGTACATATAAACTGACGTTTCAGAGAAGCTGACTGCCACCATGATCAGCATCCTCTGAAATATTTGTCAGTATCTACCAGATTACACATTGCTACATTCCAAGACAGTCATTCAAATTATTTTTGCCTAGGAGTGATGACACAAAAATAATCTCATAAAATTACAGGGGTTTATAAAATCAACATTCAGCTGAAATAAAATTCCATGCTGACATCACAAACATTTAAATAAATATCTTATCAGATTGGGGCATTTTAAATTGCTCAGGAACTCAATTACATTCAATCTTAAACATTTTATGATAACTTTTTTTTAATTCATACTAAATTTAACATATTTGATGGTCCTACCTGTTATAACCAAAACTTAATTTCCTGGAAAATGGTCAGCAGCAAAGTTTTATTTTAAATTCTTTTAAAAAAACAGCAATCTGTTATGTCTCTTTTGAAAAGTTTAAATAAGTACTATTACTGCAGTGCACTTATAGTGCTGCATTACATTCAGCACTGCTTTTTCCATAAAACATCAAATTTAGAAGAGACAATGTCCATGATTTGTTGGGTTTGACATCTTGGTGTACACAACCTTCAAGTTTATATATTGATGTCAGGGAGCAACTAATTACCACAAATGTTACCAAATGTTTAAACTGTCAGTTCCTCCTATCATTGTAATGTGTATTAAATCTTTACTGTCTACTCTGGTTTACTGGTGATATTTTACTGTATATGAAACACACATTTCTTTAAACTGAATTTTGTAATCTTACCTGATGAATTCCTCTCTTTGTTTTGACGATGCACTTGGATGATTCAGTAAAATGAAGATACAACTCTGTAACAAAAACTGCAAAGTAAGAATATGCTTTCCATCTTCCAATGTCTTTTGATTTTGAAAACACAATGAAAGCTGGTGCTGTAAATAAAAAAATGCTGAGTTAAGAGTAAGGCCCCCCATACACACACAGTTTGGCCTTCCGATCGACCTTACAGGCAAAACTGTGAAACCGGACCCTCTTCCTTTCCTTCCCCATACATGCGCAGATAAACCGGCAGGCTGCATGCCACAGTCACAGTCTTCCAGCCTATGTCGCCGAGTGCAGTGCAGTCATGTTTAGTTGTTAAAACATGGAAGGGAAACGTGGCTATCACGCCACCTCCAGGGGCTGGATCATTCTTCTTCAACTATAAGAATTTCCACAGCCAGGTTTTATTTGGAGTTGCAAACGCCAATTATGAGTTACTATACTTCAGTTTTGGATCAAATGGGCGTGTGTCCGATGGTGGAGTTTTTCAAAGCACAGACTTCTACAGGGCACTCGAAAGTGGGAGTTTGAATGTGCCAAAGGAAACAACTGTTGCTGGGAGAAATATGCCTTTTGTTCTTGTAGCAGATGATGCCTTTCCACTGAGGAAGGACATCATAAAGCCTTTCAGCCGTAAAGTAAACACACAAGCCCGTAAGATATTCAACTACCGTTTGTCTAGAGCTTGGCGCATGATTGAAAGTTGATACAATATTTTTATTTTCCGTCTATACACAAACTTAAAATAATGTTGTTAAAAATTACTTAAAATTATAACATTCTCAGTAGATACTGCATCTTGTTACATTTTTTGTATCGATACAAAAAATGTAACAAGATGCAGTATCTACTGAGAATGTTATAATTTTTGTTATGATTGAAAGTGTTTTCGGTATCATTGTGGAGAGATTTGCGGTATTACAGAAACCCATCTCTTTCATAGATTTGACTAGCGTCCGCCATATTGTTATGGCCTGTTGTGCCCTGCATAATTTTTTGCGCAGCAAGATTCCGAATCAGTACACACCATTGCAGTGTTTGGATGATGAGGATTTTGAAACTGGGAATGTTACACCTGGTTATCGCTGCAATCAATTTATGGATCTGGAAAGAAGACAGTGGTATTTTCCTTCCCAGGATGCGAAACTTGTAAGAGAGTTGTTTTTGGAGTATTTCAACAACGAGGGAAAAGTTCCCTGGCAAGATAAGTTCTGTTTTTAAAAACAGTACATCCAGGCAGAAGGCTCTGATTCCGTACACTTATGTAGTAAAAAACTTTAACATGCATGGAACTATTTAGTGTTTAGCATTGTAATCTATAATTGTTAACATAAAATAAAAGTTTGATTTTTAATTACACCACTTACCTCTGTATCACTGACAAGACTTGAAAACCCATCCAAGGCCTCTTCTTGGTCTACAAGGAACAACAAATCTTTGTAGTACCACAATTTCGGGACATAGAGGTCTTTGCTACTCATTCCAGATTTCTTAGCCATCAATACTTTCTTCCGTTCCTTTCTGAAACTGCTACGTAGATTGTTGATCTTTTTCAACACTTTTTCCTTGTTAGCTTGGGGACCAATTGTTTTAACTTTTTCCGTCAGTGCTGAATAAGCACTCTCTTTCATCTCACGGTTGTGGTATTATTTGCTCTTGACTTTCCTAATAGAAGGATGACCACGAAATTCTTCAATAAATTCGAGTACAAATTCCTTCGACCACGTTGCCTTAGCACAAACTACAAAATCACGGTACAAGTTTCAAAATACCACGTTCTTAAAAATGACACACAACGCGAAACAGTACTGAACAACACGAGACAGCAGCAGCAACTGAGCGATTGGCCTGCCGGTATCGTCACACACGTGCGTTCCGCCTGTCACGTGCTATGTCCTGCAGGCAGAACTGATGGATTTCCTACAGTCCAACAGTCCAAACGATTGGCCGGCCGCGCACCACACACGAGTTTTGCCTTTCAGTCTTCAACTGTGCAGGCTGAACGGGAGGCCAAACTGTGTGTGTGTCCTTATGAGAGAACCAAGACTATCATAACACTGTGTGAGCTGGCCAGATCAGACCTTTTTACACCTTACATGATACGATGACAGGCATGCAAAAATCAAATTACTATGAAAAAACCCTGCCACTGAGCAAGTTTATCAAACACAGACCCCTCTTGAATAGCAATGGGATTGAACCTGGCCTTCACAGTGAATAATGTGTCTGCCTGCCTAAACTACAGTGCCGTTTGTACCATCAATGAGAATTTTGTTGTAATGATTTTTTAAAGTAATAAAAATTCAATTTAAAAGTGATAAATAACAATTCTGTTGAGAGAATTAACTTCCACTATTGTAGCAGAACCTGAAGGTTCAACACTGCTAATACCAAAGCTTTCCACTGTCTTCTAATTCACCTATATCAGTGTTTCCAAAACCATTACTTCAATGGTATTCTTCAAGTTGGACTGAGGTGTTAACATCACTGAAATTAAGAAATGACAGTCTCTCCACAATATAAAGAGAGAGAGAGAGAGAGAGAGAGTTAATTAAGAGCATGTTCTCAATTTTTATGTTTTCCTACACTCACTAATCTATCTAACAAAATGCAGAGCCAAAGTACCACACCTGATATCGAGTATCTCTCCTCAGACCATCAGGCCCATCCATTTTGTTACATTTGGTAAGCAGGTTTATTTAATTTCTTTTTATGTATATTTTATCCATGCTAAGTGTGATTTAATAATGACTGCTTAATTATTTGTTGAGATGCACAGACCATAATAAGATATCATAATCTCCACTAATAAGACTGTTAAAATGATTGTGAAAAAGAGTAAAATTTTCAGTGTTCATACAGAGCACCATGACATCCATGTACTCCGTGAATTAAATAAGTTTGGAACCACTGATATACATATGTGAACAGTGAAAAAGAGAAGTCAATCTGGACATTAAATTCCTTAAATTCTTTGATAAAAATTAAAATATTGCTCAGAAATCAAAAGACTATCTACTGATGTCCATTTCAATTTACAACAAAAGTAATGACTTAATAAAAATGTCACCTACTGTATGACAGTTATTTTCAATAAAAGACAAACTTCATATGTCACATGTCTTATGAAGTTGTACAAATATATACTGTATTATATGTTGTAAAGAATACATATAAATAAATATGATAAAATAAAATACATCAATAACAAGGGGTACATGGAGCAATAAACAGAATGTAATAACCTGAGTTTTCATGGCAATGACAGTAAAAACAACAACCTTTTGAAGTTTTGTACCATTTAGTCTTTTGGCTGTAAGCCATATGAACATTCTTCCACTTTCAGGACTCACTTCAGCCCTAAAGACAGTTCCCCTGAAATATAGTTAATCTAGTATTCTATTACAATACAACTTTAAAGATTAAATTTAAAGAGTTGTATATGTGTACACAAACCTTCAACATCACTCGTTTTAAAGACAGTGTACCTCCATCTAGCAGCATTAATAAAAGTTTTGTAGCGTAAGTCCAGTTGTGACGGAGGAAACATTTTCTCAGCTCTAACATCACGTATGTATGGGAGAATGGTGTAATCACTGTTTCAGAAGACAAACACAATATTGTTACATTGAATTCATTTTCATAAGAAGTTTCTTAATTTCTGTTCATTGAATAACTAATCTTCACGAAGTGTTAACAACAGTGTACGAGAGAAAATGATCAGACACAAAGTTCATTATATGTAGGGACAATAAACATAACAAGGTAAACACTCTATCATTCTTTGATCATATCTTTCTTCAACCGTCAATATACCAAACAAAATAGCTGCATCATACTGCAAAAACAAAGTAAAAAATATAAGTTTTTCTAGAGTAGGCTTACTGACAATATAAATAATATTGTGTTGTCTGACAAGAATGGTCAATACTGACACTGACATCTAATATGAATAATATCAGACACTGTGAAAGCACTCTAAGCCTTGCAAACACAAGCTACACAAAGCATAACTGTGTCACAAATTAATACCAGTTATACACGAAAGACTTGCCACTAGTATGCTGACAGTTGGATAAACCAAACATAAAAATAAAGTAATTTAAAAAAGAATTAAAAGATGTGAAAAAGTTCTTATTATGGGCAGAAATAGATTGAAGCCTGTGCACATATGAACATGTGAGATTACGATACAACCTCCATTTAAGGTTCCTCTTTGGAACACTAAATTGCAGAAAAGCTCAAATAGAGGAAATGTAATGATGTCCTAATAAATTGAGTTGGGCCTATAGAAATTAAACATCAAACAATATAAAAACAAGAACATAAAATGTGGATGACAATGTATACCACATCAACATTTACTAACACTCAGACTAGTACTGTATACAAACTCAGCATACCAGAAGAACTTTTGTAGAATTTGTTGTCTTCTTTCCCACACTTTTTTGCCAAAGCTTGTCTCTTTGCCTTAAAAGAATGTTTCTTGAATGATGACAGTGCACTCTTCTTCATGTGTTGAACAATAAATGAAAACCAATTAGCTCTGACAGTTAAAAATCAACAGTACTCATCCACAAAGAAAATTTGTCATGGAAACTGGTCTGCTCTAGATTCCAGTATATGTGTGACAGGAACAAGGCATGGTGGGAGATATGTAACTGCAACTGTAATCTTAAAATTCTGAAAATCAAGAGTTAACTTATTCCAAGTACAGTAGCAAAATACACATTTAAACTGAATAAACTACACAAATTCTTTTGATTATTAATCAACTTAAATTAAAAACTTAAAATTCAAGTGGGCTGGATCTGAACAAATAATAACTGCTACACTATGGTGTAGCAGTCTCTAAAACATTTGACAAAATCATGTTTTAAAGGTTATGTGATTTCTTCAACTCAACAACATCTTTGTAGATAAATAGTTTGGATTTAGAAAAAATCTCTCAACAGATAAAGCCCTATTCAATTATATGAACAAAATCTTATGTTATTCATTGTCTGGACTTTTTCCATCGTCCTTGTTTAAAAAGAAACCAATGATGGAAATGGAGACTAGCTCTATCTAACGGACCCAACTGAGTAGGTAACTCTCGCCTGAAGACGGAAACAGAGCCAGTTTACGAAATGTCGTGGTTTCTTCTTTTCAAACAAGGGCAACGGAAAAAGTCAAGACATTGAATAATTATAAGTGTAATCCACAAATGTCAGAACCCTTTAGAGTTGAAATCTTATGTGCTCTTAATAACAAATTGCATGGTGACAAAATATCTTGTGAGTTAACCAAAGCATTGTGTAAATCATGAATTATTACTGACAAAACTAAGTTTTTATGGAATCTACAACCTATCTGTAAACAGCTGTTAAAACCAAGTATTCACTCTACTGTATTGTATTTGTATTATGACATATTTTATTTCTTTGGCTTAGGCCTATAAAGAATCTATGGGATGCAAATAAATTCTCTTCTCTTAGAAAAGACACAGAAGCAAATGTAGTGGCATGACTGGAGCTAGCAAGGTAGAGAGGTTATATTAGGTGCTGGTTAATTTCTTCCCTTCAGATTACATTAAAATGTAGTTTTATGCAAGAGTAGGACGGCTGGACCCAAAACTGTTTCCAATACAAGTAAACTAACGTGAATACAAAATACCCTACCTCACTCCATACAACCGATATTAAAAATACTCCACAGACAAATAATTACAAAACTTTAATGTAGAAATCAAAATTCAACCACATTATTAACAGCCTACGGGCAGTTGCAATACATACCAAATGTTGCTTATGTAGAGTACAGGTTCCCACTTTCATTCTTCTCTTCGAATTTGATTTATTCATTTCTACACGCTGTAATCCTTTTAAATGTGCAATAATAATAACAATAATTAAAATACGCACAGCAAGAGAATATAGATTTTTACTGTGTAATTAACTTTTAAAATCTTAAACTTACACTTCAAATCAATGCCAAGACTCGTATGTGATTACATGGTCAACGATTCAAGGGGCATAGATGTTGCTATGTTGCAGTTATTTACTTATTGTGTACCCTACACAAAATACACACAAGGAGTTTTAAACAACAGTTAATTTATCGAAAGGTAATTATGAAGTAAATCTAACAACAGCACTAATTATACGGCGTCAAACTATAATATTGAAAGTAATGTATTATAATAATCAAGAGCCGGATGGAGAATCGTAAGGGCTTGAGCAAGAGAATTAACTAAATCCTGTGGAAAATAAAGTTACATGTCAAAAATTTCAAAGTACCATATTGTTAACGATTTTAACAGCCGTCTCTAAGCCATTTCATCGCGCCTTCCAAGCAAGTACAGCTTGTCAGCTGTAAAACGTATCGACTACATGTAACAAATTTCATGGCATTCTTATAAAGGTGATTACATACCACGGCCAGAACGTTGGAAGAAACAGTAGTTTTAATTAAAACCGCACAAACACATTAATATTTTACGAATAACATACAACAGTTCAATGGAAACTGAAATGTTTGATGCCATGTGCCCATTTTCACTGGACGTGACGATATACAGTAGTCCAGCAATCATTTATTACAGGCCACAGATGACATGTAATAACACGTAAATATAGTAGGTACCACAGATAACACACAGGTACTTATCAGACATGTGCTCAGCATGTGAAATTGTTTGATTGGTATTACGTATAACTACAAATAAATCAATTGTCAGCACTGCAGCACAATTTTGTTCAACTAATCACAAACGAGTATTTGGAAAACTTGCATGGGCGCTCTTTTGGCGGACCTGCTTTTTATCCGCATCAACGTCCTAACCCCAATCCTTGTGCCACGGCCCATTATCGCCTGTGCCAGACTAAAAGCACGTACATATGTAAATTGGCCAAGGTTTGTTACAGACACATTTCCAACGTTATTTTTGGTTTTCTCAGAAGAGTATTTAGATGAATGTCTCCTGGAATGTTAAACCGAATACACTGAACGTTGGTCAATACCCACCAGACTACAGACCGCCAATGAGCTGTTACTCAGACTTAACATTGGTGAGAACATGCTCGCTAAGCTTTTGTTTCTTGACGGTTTTCTTCCAAACTCACCCTTTCCTCCTCCTCCTGAAAAAGATATTTTCTGTTTCTTTGTTAATGTTCCTATTGCAAAGAATGATAAATATACTGAAGTTCAGTTCAAGTATATCATGAATATTTCTGTGTGTCGGTGATGAACATGCCCACAGGTATGTTTATGTGTCATCCACCAACAAAATGCTAGATTACTGCTGTAAAACAAGTATAGACTGCTTGCTTCAATGATGAGTCTACTGACAAATGAGGGATAAACTCTAGCTCTTAACGTTTTATTATACGTAGCTAGACAAAATGTTGGGATGGCAACTACTCTGATGTTCCTAGCTTGCTTCTGTATCCTTCTCAATTCCCATACTCATTCTACTATTTCATATTTGATGCTCTATGACATTCACATATAGCACAGTATCATTGAATAAATAAATGGACACATTGATTACCACAGAACCAGAGATCAACAAGTAAGAAGCTTAAAAGCTCACAGTTTCTTCTCATTGAAAAAAATCTAATTTCCAATAAAGAATTTTTTGGATGAAAGTTCATTTGTAGCCATTTAAAAACATGATTATATCAGTTTGAACAGAATGTACACAATCTGAAAAAATTAAACTATGTTTTCAGGACAGTTCTCTGTTTGCAATGGCTCCGCAAAATAGTATTTTGTCTCATCAAAGATGTGAAACAAATGTTTCCAAAAATTCTAGAAAGAAACAGCATACTAAATCTGAGACAGGTCTTGCATCAACACCAAGAAAGAGAACACCAGGTGGAAAAGAGGTTATACACATAGTGAAGTATGATGATAAAATTCGAGAGCTGATTGTGCCCAGTCTAGAGCGCACTGTACATCCTACCCTGTTGGATATTAACGAATTTAACAGAATTAAACAGCAAGCTAAGGTAAATATGAAAGTCAAGGATTTGGGTTAATATTATCATATATAACTCACTGATACATACTTATTGATTTTATCTACTGGAAGAGTGCATGTGTATACAAAATTAAAATGTTTCAAATAGAAATCCTCAGATCTGTCAAAAAAAACTTATCTACAGGTATGATTTTCATTTTTCTTGAATGATAAGACTGAAACTTGTTTACAGGTCATTACAATGCAGGATAGATTACATATGCTGGAGGAAGCTGACAAGAGAAACAATGAGCTAATGCAAAAGTGTAAAGTTCGAAAAGATGAAATGTGCAAATGGTCTCAAAAGCAGAAACATGGGCAAAAATATTCTTTACTAGAATCACATGCCCATCACCAGGCAACTCATCTCCTCCGCAGAGCATTTGAAATGAAACAAGACCAAGAGGATGAAGTAAGCACCCTCTGTGTTAACATGGATAAGAGTCACAACATAAGACAATTTAAAGCACACATTCTGTGTCAGTTTGTAAATTCCTACTAAATATGTAGTTAAATATTTTGGAAATAATAATGGCTAACTCAGACTCATAATTTCCTATGTAGTCACTTATCCCGCACTGATTTTGAGATGATATAGATGTCGATTATAAGTACATATATGCTCTGCATTTGTAGTGAATAAAATCTGCAGAGGTACCAAGCGTATTTGTGAAGCTTGTGAATTTCTGATATACCTAAAATATTGTGCCCTTCTTTTTGTATGACAGGTGAAGAGAGCAAACCGCCTTATTATGGGCATTAAGTGTCATGCAATACGTGATGCACAGATTGCTGAGAGGAAGCAAATAGAAAAGGACCTTGAAGATGAAGAACGTTGTCTTGACCAAATGATGGAGGAAGAGAGGAGACGTGCTTTACTTGTAAGTTGTAACTGATCTTATTACTTAAACTAATATCAAAATTTCTTCACTGTACTGGTGATCAGCCTGTTTTAGTACCATTATCCTGTATGTGATGATACATCTTTCCTTTGTCATTTATAGTGCTTAAGAAGCTGGTTCAGAATCTGCTTTTTTTTTTTTTTTTACTTAAAATTATTTTGGCTGCATAGTAACACACACAGAACTTTGGGGACTTTGTTCCAGTTTTCTAATTTGTAATTTTTCATTGCCAATTCCTACCATTATAATGTTTGTAATAAAATAATGCAGTACAAAATTAGAAATAAGAAGAATGTTTACATGATTAAATTAATAATTTATTATTGTGGCTGCAGGATGAAGAAAAGCGAGAGGAGAAGGAACAACTAAAGAAGGGTCTATATGTGAAGCAGATTCAACAGCAGATAAAAGAGAAAGAGATGGAAAAAATTCTAGAATTGGAACATAAGGAAGAGGAAAGTCGGCTCATCACCGAGGCTCAAGTGCAGGCTACACTGGATGAGATAGAAGCCTACAACAAGAAGGTTGCTCAGCAAAAACAGATGCGGGATGATCTTAATGAAATCAATCGCCAGATTGAACATTTCCATGCTCTGGAACAGGAGAAATCCCATATTAATGATCTGAGGGTAAGATAATAAAAGCACCTGTTTATTTTCATTATGAAAATCTGATGGTTATCAGTTCTCAGGTATTCTATATGTGTAGACTCCATTTTTTTAAATTTCAACGAACAAATATGAAATATGCATAAGCTTGGACAACTTTAACAGAAGGTGTCAGTTAACAGTATTTAACAAAAGTTACATCTTCCAAACGGGTAACCAAGTAATATGCGAAACAATTTTCAGTAAAGTTTAGTAGTGGTTCTATTAGATTTCTCTCTATACATAAAAGTTTAATTATCCTGCATGAAATTATGGCAGGAGTGAGCATGAGTTCTTGCAGTGTTGGTATTAATTTTTTGCTTTATGGTCTAAATAAGCTCTTAGCTGATACAAAACTCCTGAAATAAAAATACCTCACCAGGACTGAGCTAAGTCTGTAAAATCACATTTTCTTTATGAAATCATGCCATTGAAGAGGAATTTAATGCCATGTTTTTTAAGTTCCTGCATCCACTTACTACAGTATGATGGCTGTGGAGACTTTCAAATAATGCTGAACTGTGTAAGATGATTGACCTATAAAACATTCTCAGAATGAACTGAAATAATTCTGCACAGAATGTGGGTTTTCTTTGTTGTAAACTATAGGCAGATTATATTTTGTGCTGTGGATAATTCTAATTAAACCACAAACTGTGAATTTTAATATGTGGATTACAGAACATTCAAGGTTGTATCTGTCAACTTTTCAGGTCATAGGATCTTTTTACTGCCAGAAACAACACACAAAGACAAAACATTATACACTTAGTTTTTAAACTCAATGCCTAAAAGTCACTCACTCTCTATGGTACAGGATATTCTTTGAAAAGTCGATTGTTACTTGGTTTGTCAAAGAATAGTCCACTTTCTTTATGGAACCTGAAGGTTCATCACCATGTTCACAAAAGCCTGCCACTGGACTTTATCCTGAGCTGCATCCATCCTCAATTGATTCCTATCTCCTTAATCTTAATGTTATCCTCTCACCTATGTCTAGGTCTTCCCAGTGGTCTCCTCTCTTCAGGCCTCCCAACCAATACCCTGTAAACACCCCTCCCCTCCCCTCCCCTCCCCCATGTGTGCCGCATGTCAAGCTCACCTCACCCTGCTCGATTTAATAACACTAACAATATCAGGTGAAATATACAGGCAGTGAAGCTCACAATACATATTCTTTTATCCCTGACTTGGTTATTTGTTCTGCAGGTTCAAGAATACATGCGACTGAAGGCAGAAAGAGAGATGGCTCGAGAGAAAGAGTTGAAAGCTCATCGAATGGCAAGGGAACGAGAAATAGCTCGACTGATGGCTCTACAACAACACCAACAAGACCTGCAGGTTAGGCATATTATTTATATTTTTAAATGTTGTATGGGATTGGGTTTGAGTAAACTGTTAGAAAGTTTTTAGAAGAAATGTAAAGTCTATATGAAAGGTCAATGGTCAGATCAGTCCTTTCCTCTTCATTTCATGTTTTGACTATGGTGCTGGTAGGCAGAGGCATATGAACTAAATGCACTGAGAATGCAAGAAGAAGTTGAACGAGAATTCAGAAATAAAGAGAGGGCAGCAATGCGCAAGAAGAAAGAAAATGATGCAGCTATAAAGAAAGCTCGAGAAGAACAGGTTAGTGTATGACATAAATGCAAATGTTACTGGAATTTGAGTATTACCTTCACAGTATTGATATTTTAGAGACTCCCAGAATATGGAGACAGAGAGTCAACATTTTAGTTTCCATCATTTCATCCTCACTAATATTTTTCAGTTATCAGTCCACAGCTATGGTAGTCAGAAAGGCATTTAGAGAACTGAAAAATTCCAGATGAAAAGGCTGTGGTTGGTTTGGCCCTCCAGGATGGTGGTTCTACAAAGACTGGTAACCCTCTGACAGAAAATTAGATTTCTCATACACTTCACCGGTTACAGACAGGCAGAATCAGTGGAAGTATTAGTAATAATAACATTAATAAAATAAGCATGTTCCAAAGTGACTTCTATCTACTTGTCAGAAATGGAGAATAAAGAATTCAGTCTTACATAGATAATTTTGTCAATTCTGAATCAAAACTTTCTTAAAAATTAGTGCTTTATATATTCATATGAAGTTACTATTTCTAGATCCTTGACCGGAGACGCATGGAAGCACTAGAGATTGCCTGTGAAAAGCAAACATTTAAACAAGTCTTGAAAGCACAGAAAGAGGCTGCTGAGAAACAGAGACTTGATGATCTCAAGAAAAAACATGTATGTACAATTGGTATAATTTTTAACTACGAGGTGCGATCGGAAAGTTTCCAGACTGTGTCAATAGCGGGCGAACCGGATGTAGTACGAGCTTCTGCTTTTACGGGGTGCGGCCTACATTCATAGTGAATCAGTGTGCCAGCTGGCATCATCGAATTAGCATTTGTTTCTTAGTTACGGGCGTTTTGGTAGTGCATTACACCAACCCTCCTGCGATTTCGGAATGGCGTGTGCATCAAATTTTGCCAAAGACTCGCCAAAACGGCTACAGAAACCTATGAAATGCTAAAGCAAGCATTTGGGGAGTCCGCAATGGGTCATGCACAAACTTTTGTGTGGCATTCACGTTTTAAAAATGGCCGAACCTCTGTCGATGATGACGAGCGTTCTGGACGACCATCTTCGAGCACAACGCCCGAAAATGTTACGAAGATCGACGTCGTACCATCAACGACTTGTGCGACATTGTTGGGATAGACTATGGGAGATCTTGCAAGATCCGACCCCAACTTCCTTTCTAAGCTCTGTGTGACTTCTTCCTCTTCCCAAAGATGACAATTCAGCTAAAGGGAAGGAGATTTGAGACGATAGAAGAGATTCAGGCAGAATCGCAGATGGTGCTTGACAGGGTGACAAAGAAAGATTTCCAGGGATGCTTCCAGGCTTGGCAGCGGCGCTGGGATCGTTGTGTTCACTCCCAGGGGAACTACTTCGAGGGTGATGGATGAATTTAATACCTGAGATAAGTGTATGGGTTTTTATAGGCGCAGTCTAGAAACTTTCCGATCGCACCTCGTACAACAGATTTTATTCATAGTTAGAAATCATTCATGCTTTTCTGTAGGGTACACATGGCATTCTCAAGAATAGTTTTATGTACAGTACAATATACCAAAATTTAAAAAAATTAAAAGAATGTATTTTAGGTCATGTTAATTTCATATGAACTAATTCCAAAATGGATAATTTTACACTTCTCTTGTGTGTAATACACTAAGTTGGATTTGAACAGAAACAAGTATTCTTGTGTATGTTCTGTCACAACCAATGGGCTAGTTACTCATGCAGGAAGTGGGGGGGAGGAACAAAAAACAAACAACAACTGGACACCACCTCCAATATATTATTCTATCATGAGTAACCTGAGAAAGCTGATACAATTTCCTAAAGAAGAAGTGGATGTGCTATGTTTTAATGCTATGGAATGTGAATTCCATGTTTTGTTAATATTAATTTGTTTACAGATAACACAGCAATATCGTTCAGATATCATAAAGCAGATAAATGAGAAGGAACATGAAAGAATTAAAAAAAAACAAAGCAAATTTGAGGAAGAAGTTGCACTTAAAATGGAGGAATTGCAAAGACAAGGAAATATGAAGGATGCTATAAAGAAGAAAATTGAAGAACTCAGGTAGTAAAAGTAAAATGTGTTCTTGAATATAAATACTGTTACTCAATGAAATGCCAATAAATGTACCTTGAAGTTCACAATTTTAAAATTTACAAAATACTTTTTATTCCCTACTCTAATTACTTACTACAAAAGCATAAACTAACTTCTGCATCATGAAACTGAAATTAGCAAAAATATATACACAACAAATAGAAACCGAGTTCACTAAGCATTTTAACACTTATAATAATTTTATTAGTTTTACAACCCAGTATGAACACATCTCGTATCAGGCATGAAATGAAGAGATTAAGTTTTGAAATACCAGCCAATAATAATTCATATACACAGGCACCTAACAAAGATAAATACAATTACAAAGAATGAACTCACAGTTCCAATGTGAAATAAACTAGACAACAAACAATATTACACTTCACATACCTCATGACAGTGATGGAAGTCATGTGGCAGTATGAAATAAAACAAATTTATTTGCCTTCAACAGAGAGAAACTAATTACAGGAGGCTTACACACTGTATACAATAAATACCATAAATGAATACCCATGATGTGTGTGCTGTGTACCTTGCAACTATTAGAAACATAGAGCATATAGTAACTTTGAAATAGGTATATTTCCCCCTACTTAGGCATTTCTCATTTCCAGAGTAATTCATAAAAAATTTCTGCACTTCTTATTGTACTTCACTACCCAATTATTTGCATTTCTCCACTTTTTGTTTCATAATTATTGCATTTTATTTTTTAATGCTCTGTGTCTTCTAACTTATTTTCATAGCCACAAGTTCATCTACATCAACATTTAATTCAAAATCTTTGTACAGGTTGTAACTACCTTCTGAAATGTTTTCAATTGTTTCCCATATAACTGTCATCTGCATATAACACAACTTTTGGTATTAGGAGCTTGTCTGTATTAAAGCTGAAAACTGCTACAAAACTTGGGTGATTTTAATTATCTTTGTTTATGTTGTGTTTCTTCCTACTTTACATTGAGATCACAATCTTCTTTCTTCCAGGATCCACAAAGTACCACAAGTTTATATTAAGGAGATTGAGAGGCAACTGAAGCTGAGATGAAACTGGAGGTTCCAAATATGACTCATTGATCAGAATGTGGGTAATGTAGGCTTTGAGTTGAAGTTTTGATGTTACAGACAATTTTATTAGAATTTTTGTTATTATGTCATCACAGGCATTAATGGTGCAATACTCACATTAATGTCGTACATTTATAAATCAACAG